CTAGCGGGCCGCCAGGGGCGCGGCGCCCGCGAGGAAGAAGCCCCGCGGTCGCTGGGCGGGGCGCGCCCCGCCGAGCAGCACGGCGCCCGCGTCGTCCTCCGCGAGCGGCTCGGCCGCCCGCCCGGCGAGCGCGCCGCCTCTGCCAGAGGCCGCCTGCCTGGAAGAAGCCGCAACGGCCTGAGCAGAAACGTTTGGGGCGCGCCGCGCGGATTCCTGGGGCCTGCGCTGGACCCCCCTCCCTGGCGCGCGGAGCGCGCCAGGGGCGGCGCCAGAGGCGCCGCCAGGCGGGGCCCCAGGCGCCGATCCGAGACATCCGCGCGGAGCGCCAAACGCTTTTGCTGACGGCATTTTTTCGGCTTCGACTGCCGCTTCTGGACCGCGGGCGCGCCGGCCAGCCCCGCTGAGGGCGCGCCGGCGTGCAGGGCCAAGAACGTCTCGCGCTCCTCCGGGCTCATCGACGCGGCGAGCCCGCCCTCCTCGGCGCGCCGCTTCCTGTCCGCCTCGGCCCGCCGGCGCTTCGCGAGGCGCTCCTCCTCGCGCTGCTTCTTCAGCTTGTGGCGCAGCCACTCGCGCTCCTTTGGGGATGGGCGACTTGGTGGCTGGTGTGATGGTGGTTGCTGCTGCCCGGTTGCGCAGTGGGAGGCTGCCCAAACAGGCCTCACCACTCTCGTGTAATCTACACGGTAGGCGGTCTACGCGGGATCCCCGGCCCGCGAACCACAGCGTGTGACGACGACATGGCGGTTAGGAACGTTGAGCTCCGCTTGGAGGATGCATACTGTTTTCGCACAACGGCTCAACCATGCGAGGCAGGAATATGTTCATATCCACCGCCAGGGGAACCTACCTCCTAGGCTGGGACCCCAGCGGCGGGTGGATCTGGATATACTCTGGCCCCAGGGAGCCCGAATCTATCCATATCCACTGTCCGCCGAGACCCCCGAAGCTCGATCCCCCAAGCGGTGGTTACGGGCAAGTCCCCGCCTCGGAGACCACCCACGACCCACTTTGGCAACACGAATCCTTCTGGCGCCGCTGCCTGTCGAGCTCGGACTCTGGGCCCCCCTCGGGCTCGCCCTCCTGGGGAAATCAAGAGGTACCGACACTGCTGCTCCCCGGACCTCCTCCCATGGGTGCGCTCTGGCCCGAAATCCGATGCGAAAGTCCAGCCGTGGCGACGAGGGCCTCCCAGGAGGCCCCGAAAGCCGAAACCGAGGCAAAGGCAACGGTGTCGGCACTTTTCTTGAGCAGGGAAAGACCGTCCCGGCATTCCTAAAGGCCTGCCACGACATGCTCTCAGAACCCCAGAACATGTTCCAATAACAATAAGCAACATTTTTCAGGGCATCAAGCCGATGCGCTAAAACAAGACAGCCCCAGCCAGAACTGCTCGGAGACCATCTCGTGCAAACCACAACAAAGATTCTTAGACCATCCTTTCGTGGGCCTATACAATCATCGGCCTGACCTAAGGATCAATACATAAGGAACGAAGCCCCTTTTTTCAGGGAGTCACGCATAGGGAGCGATCAATAAGACATAACGCATAAGGAAAGATACATAACGCATGCAAGCCTAAGGAACGACCGAGTCCCTCTTGAAAAGTAAATGCTCCTTATTCCAGCCGCTCACTGTCCCAAAGATCCGACGTCGTGATTTTTTCAGTACGCGGTCCCCGGAAGTCTCGACCCCTTCCCCAGGACTGGCTTTTTCATCCCGAATCGCTTTTTGACGATCCCGAGGCCCGGCGAGGGTCCTTCGGGGCCGAAGCTTGCGAAAGACCTGCGCCTTGATTTTTGTTCCAGTGCGCTGGATCCCTGGGCTATAGGCGCGCCGGGACGCCTCGCCACTGCTGGCACTCTTTTCCTCCTCCTCGGACCTCCGGGCCCGCGGGCGCCGCGCCCCCGGCGCCCGGCGAGGAGGCCGCGCCCTCGCTGCCCGCCGACTCGGCCGAGGCCCTGCGCTTCAGGCCGCGCCCGGCCCGGCCGAGGCCGCGGGCGCCGGCGGCCGGGCCGTCGGCAGCCTCTCGGGATCCACGCGCAAGAGGCGGCCCTGGGCAGGAGTGGCTCGGGCGTTGGCGGAACTGGGTTTGGTGTGTCACATGGTTCCCCCTATTGTCCTGGGCGTTGACCTAGGGAACCCTCAATAAGGAACGGGGCCCCTTTCTTTCCATAAGTTAAACTTTGATTTCCCATCGAAAATCTGAAGAACACCCAGGGCAAACTGTGAAACAATGAAGGAACACGGAGCCCCTCCCCAACGAGAAGGGTTCCTTCTTCAGCGCCCCGACTGTATTGTCCGGGGAATCGACGATTGATGTGTGTGCATTTTCCCGTCCCGACAAATTTTCGGAGGCCCGCGCGGGGCTCTTGTAGCGGCGCCAGACCCCCCCGCTTGGGCGCGCTGGGATGACCGTGGGGGTGTCTAAGTGGACAGGGGGGTCACAAGTGGATGCCAAGGTGGGTTATATCTGGCCCAACCTTGCTTGTGAGTGGGTTACAAGTGCCCCGACTGGCTTAGGGGGGTTAGCTAACTCCGCTAAGTGGGCGGAGCCCACTTAGCCTGGATCGTTAACGCCCCTGAGCCAGTCGTTTATGTTGCTCCCGTCGTACACAAGGACCACATCCCAGAAATGATTTCGCGCACTGACACAAGAAATATCGAAACGGTGTCGAACGAGTATCGCCTCCCTGGGCAGGAGCGGCTCCGGCGTTGGCAGAACTGGGTCTGGCGGGACCTGGCTTAGTCATGCGTACCGGGGGACGCCCCCCCGCCCCATTTCACTATTCACCGGAGCTGCCGTCACCCGAACAAAACACCAGCTATACGGCAGACCCAATTTAGCGATTCTGGCCAATTTAGGGGTTCTGGGGCCCTACTACTGACCGGGTCCCCTTACCTGGGGTCCTCGCCAGACCCGATTGGCCTTTGGTTCATGTTGTTCCCATCGTACTTCAGGACCACATCCCAGACATGATTTCGAGCACCCAGAACAATATCGAAGCAGTGTCGAACGAGTATCGCCTCCCAGGGCCAGGCACGTGACAAAAACTCCCGTGTCGGCTTACTGGACATACGCGAATCTCAGGGCTTCTGGTACTTTGCATAATTTTGTGTTCGGTGTGTTCGTCTTCCCCCCCACTAGCCCATGTTTCCCCCTCTTTTCCCCTCCTCCTCCTCCTCCTCCTCCTCCTCCTTCACTGTCTGTGTGCTTCTTCTCCCCGTCCCGAAAAATTCTCGGAGGCCCACGCGGGGCTCTTGTTGCGGCGCCGGCCCCCCGCGCTTGGGCGCGCTGCGTGGGGGGGGGGGGGCGAGGCACGGAGGCACCCCCCGAGATGCGAGGCGAGTCCCTACACGGAGTGCTCGGTCCCCGTCTGGGGCGCAGTCCGTCTGGACTTCTGGCCCCTCCCGCTGGGATGCGGCACCCGACCAGGATGGCAAGGATGCGCGGTAAGGATGCAAGGGCCTTGGAGCGCCGCGTCGACGTTTTCCGTGCGGAGCGCAGCAGAATGCCGAAGGATGCCGAATACCGAAGGGGCAAGGATGCAAAGGGTAGCCTTGGAAAGTTGCCCCAACCTTACTATCATGGTTGACTGTAGGTCCATGCGGAGTGAGTCCATACGGAGTGCTCGGTCTCTGCCTGGGATGACTCTGTCTGCTGGGCTCCGCCTCTCCGGAGCACCTTTCCTGCTCCTGTTGGCTCCCACTGGGCCCCATGGGGGCCCCACGAGATCCGTGTGGGACTCCGAAAGTTTGAAATGACTGCTCACATCTTTCTTCTCTGGGCCCCGCCGTGGGCAGCTGGGTCTCCCCCGCGAGCTTTGCTGCGGGGATGGCGGTCGCAAGGGCTTCCTGCGGCACGAAGGGCGCGGTCGGGGATATCTCGAACAGGTCGGCGCCGCCCGCGCCCGGAAGGCCCTGGGGCACGAAGGGCGCGGTCGGGGATATCTCCAGCTGGTCGGCGCCGCCCGCGCCCGGAAGGCCCTGGGGCACGAAGGGCACGGTCGGGCTGATCTCGAGGCGGTCGCCGCCGCCCGCGGCGGGGGCCTCTTGCGGGACGAGGGGCGCGGTGGGAGAAATCTCGAAGGGCGGCGGGGCCACAGCGGCGACGCCCACGGGCGAGAAAGGGGCCGTGGGGCTGATCTCGAAGTCCATCCCGGCGGCGGCCGGCAGCTCCCGCGGCACCACCGGCACGGCAGGGGCGACCTCCGTCCACTTGCTGCGAGGGTGATCTCCTGCTCGGCGCTGCAAAGAAGGGAGAGAAGGCACTGCACGACGCACGCGCAACCTGGAAGCGCCCCCACGGGCCTTCGCTGCCCCGCTGTGCAACACGCAATCCGTAGCTCGTCGACACGGAGCTCAACACGAAGACACCACAAAACAGGGTGCGGATCCAAGAAACGCGCGCGGAGCGCCAAACGTTATGCTTGTGCTGTTTCTCTTCGAATGCGGGCTCCATCTTTGAACCACTGTTGTGTCGGGCGTGTCCCCCTACAGGGGGACGTTCGACGAAAAATTAAGAATACTAAAAAAATACTCCCAAATGGCCAAAAAAACCTCACTAAATAGTCCCCAGACTATTTTTGCACTATTGTTGCATATTCCTCCTGTAGAGGGACAGGCCCGGCTTGAAACCACTGGCCTGTGGCCATGGCCCCCCACATGGCGGTCGGGCTGACGTCGTCGGCCCACGGCTGCGTGTCGGCGCCGTCGGAGCCCGCAGCGGGCAGCGGGCGGGCGGCCGCGCGGGGCGCCGCCTCCGCCTCCTGCGGCTCTGCCCCCGCTGCCCCGCCGGGCCCGCCCACCGCCGGCTGCGGCAGCGCCTCCCCCCGCGGCGCGGCCTCCCCGGCGCTGGGCACGACCTCGTATACAGGCAGCCCGTGTCGTAAGGAGGCGCGGTGAGGATGCAAGGGCCTATATAGGAGGCCCATGGCAACGCTTTTCGAATGAGGCTGGCCAGCGAAAGTCGCTAAGGTCAGGTCGGGCCTGTCCCCCTACAGGGGGATTTTGGACGAAAAATTTAAAATACTTTAAAAGTACTCCCCACATGCTCAAAAAGTATTTTAAAAATAATCACCAGACTATTTTTTGATTATTTTCGAATATACCTCCTGTAGGGAGGGGGATGGGCCCGACTTAACGCTAAGGCTGGGCCGAAGGGGCAAGGATGCAGGGGTACCCTTGGGAAGGTTACCCATCCTCACTGTGCGGGCCACGCGGAGCTCTTGGAGCGGCGCCGACCCCTCGCGCGCAGAGCCCGGCAGGGGGCCCAAGCGCAGATCCAAGGACTCCGCGCGGACCTCCCCGCGCAAATGCCAATTGCTGCCCTTTCTTCTCCCCTGCGACGCGACAAGATGCAAAATCGTAGCAAAAACACCCAATGAGTCCCAGACCCTTATCTTGATGCGTCATTTTTCGAGCCAGATCGATCTGTGAGGGTCCAGGGGCCGAGAACTGGGTGAAAACGCCTGGCGCGAAAAAAATGAAACGCCAGGACCTATGCATCCGGCGTCTCGATTGTTTCGAGACGCTGGCCCTCGACCTCCCGACCACTTCCCCAGGACCGTTTTTCCATCCCGAATCGTTCTTTGACGGCTCCGAGGCCCAGTGAGGGCCCCGATCTCGAGAGGCCGAAAACGAAGAGAAACCTACGTCTCGATTTTCTCGAGACGCTGGGAGTCTGGGGATCAATTCGGATGAGGATACATCGAGAATCTGGAAGATCTGGCGGCTCTGGCGGAGATGTCTCGGGCGCCGCAGCCTCCTCAGAGCGCTCTGGCACGCTCTGAGAGCGTTCGGGAACGCTCTGGAACGGATTTTGACCCATCACCATCACCATCATCATCATCATCCTCATCATCATCATCATCATCATCATCATCATCATCACCATCATCATCATCACCACCATCATTATCATCATCATCATCACCATCATCACCATCACCATACTCATCATCATTATCATCATCCAGATCATAACCAGGCTCATCATCGTCATCACCACCATCACCACCATCAGTATCATCATCACCATCATCATCAGCATTAACATAATCATCAAGATGGTCATGAACATGATCATCATCATAACCATCATCATCAGCATCATCATAAGACCATCGCCACCATTACATGAATCATCACCATAATCCTGATCATGATCATGACCAACAGAATCATCGTCATCACCCTCCTCCTCCTCCTCCTCCTCATCATCATCATCATCACTCTCACCATCACCATGATTATGGTCATGATCATTATCATCATTACCATCATCATCAGCATCATCATCATCATCATCACCATCATCACCATCACCATCATCATCACCATCATCATCACCATGATCATCACCATCATCATCACCATCACCATCACCATAATCCTCATCACAATCATCCTCATCACCATCATCGTCATCATCATCATCATCATCATCATCATTTTGATGTAGCCCCCGTTCGATGAGATGAGACCTCCTCGGGCGCCGGAGCGGCTGGCGCGGCGCCAGGCGCGGCGCTGGGCGCGGCCTCCTGCGGCGCCGGCGCGGCCGGCGCGGCCTCGCCGGCGCCGGCGGCGACCTCCCCGGGCGCCTGCGCGGCCTCCGCGGCGCGGGGCGCGGCCTCCGCCGCCACCGGCTCGGCCTCCGCGGCAGGCGCGGCGGGCGCCCGTGCAGGCGCGGCAGCCTCGTGCGCAGGAGGAGGAGGAGGAGGAGGAGGAGGAGGAGAAGGTGGAGGAGGAAGAAAGAGAGGCGGATGAGGATGAGGAGGAGGAGGAGGAACGAAGAGATTCAGGTTCAGGTTCAGATTCAGATGATGATGATGATGATGATGATGATGATGATGATGATGATGATGATGATGATGATGATGATGATGATGATGATGATGATGATGATGATGATGATCAAGAGGAGGAGGAGGAGGAGGAGGAGAAGGAGGAGGGGGAGGAGGAGGAGCAGGATGAGGAGGAGGGAAGAGGAGGAGGATGATGAGGAGGAGGAGGAGAACAAGTGTAAACCCAAGACTCGTCAACGAAGTTGGAATAGACCCTCCCTCCAAGCTCCCTCTTCATAGGCCCCTGCAAGGATTCGTTTCCACTGAGGGAAAGGCCCCGTTAGGAGACAACCGTTTGATCCTGAACCGTGCCACAACACCATTCTTGGGACTTCGGTGCCACGAATCAACATTACTGTTGCGTATTGACAATCCTGAATTTGGCAGAACACCGTTCGTGGGATTTTTCAACACCGCCAATCAACGTAACCGCTGCGTCCTAAAAACCCTGAAACGTTCCAAAACACCCTTCCTGCTCATGAACCGTGTGATTCCGTGAAACTTGTGCACGTTGTTGAAAGGAATGTGCGCGGCGCCAATGCGTGAGCGAGGAGAACGACGACGACGACTCGGAGAAGGAGGAGGAGGAGGAGGAGGAGGAGGAGGCGTGCACGTCGCTAAGGGGGGGGGGGCGAGTCAAGCCCTGGCCATGAGTGAATGGCCATGAATGGAAAAAAGAGGTGTGGAATGGCGCTCGGCCTGCCGCCCTCCCAGAAACGGAGGAGGAAGAGGACGAGTACGAGGACGAGGGCGAGGATGATGATACTGATGGTGATGATAATGATGATGATGATGAGGAGGAGGAGGAGGAGGAGGAGGAGGCGGAGGAGGAGGGGGAGGGGGAGGAGGAGGGGGAGGAGGAGGAGGGGAGGGGGAGGAGGAGGAGGAGGAGGAGGAGGAGGAGGAGGAGGAGGAGGAGGAGGAGGACCAGTGTAAACCAAAGAGTCATGAACGAAGTTGGAATTAACCCTCCTCCAAGCTCCCTCTTCCTGGGCCCCCTACAAGGCCCTGAAGCATGCCAAAACAGTATCTTCGGGACTTCAACGCAACGGATCAACCTGACTGCTGCGTCTTGACGATCTGGAACCATGCCAGAACGCCATTTTTGGGACTTCAACACCGCGAATCAGTATAACTGTTGCGCACGCATAATCCTGAATCCCTTCAAAACACAATTTCTGGTAGGTTGATCGTGGGCATCCGTGCAACTCTTCAAAATTGTATGAACGAATGTGCGCGGCGCTTGGGCGAATACCGCATTTTGAAGAGGAGCTGCCCTCAACCCGTGAAGTTCTTGCAATTTGTTTTTAAAGAAAGCAAAAAGCCGAATGTGCGCGGCGCTAATGCGAGAGCCACATTGTGAAACCCCCCCGTCCTCAATCCGTGAAGCTCTTGCAATTTTTAACCACGAATGTGCGCGGCGCTAAGGCGAGAACCACATGTGCAAAAGGAGCCGCCCTCAATCCGTGAAACCCTTACAATTTTTTAGAACAAATGTGCGCGGCGCTAAGGCGAAGGGCCACATCTTGAAAACCACCCGCCCTCCATCTGTGAAGCTGTTGTCGATTTTAAGCTTCAAAGTCTCAGGCGAGACGCCTGGACCGCCTTCAAAAATTGCCTTGGGGGCGACAGGGAGAAATTACCTAAAAGGAAAAAGAATGGAGAAGGAAAAGGAGGAGACCCCCCTCGTGGTCATCCCCGCCTCGTGCGCCGGCGCGGCGCCTCCGGCGCCAGCCACGGGCTCCTCCAGAGGCTCGCCGGCCTCAGCGGGCGCCGTGGTCGGTGCGGCTGGTGCGGGCGCCCTCGGCTGCGTGGCGGTGGCTCCCGCCTCGTCGGCGGAGGCTTCGGCTGCGGCGTTGAGGCTCTGGGAGCTGGTCGAGCGCATGGGCGTGCCCTTCGAGAGCGTCTTGGCCTTCGGGCGTCGATATCTACACATATCCGCCGCCCCTGGCTGGGCCCATCCTGGGCCCAAGACCGGCGTGTACATGCCTTCCTGGCCAAGCCAGGGGGGCGTATACAGCAGCGGTGACTCTGCGTAGATCTCGGCGAGGCCTGGCGGAAGGATACAGAGCGGCGCATGACGTCCCTGAAGAGGTCGCGCTTGGAGTCGCCCTTGGTGGCCGTGATGTCTGCGACGACGTCCAGCCCGCCCTCGGCCTCGTCCTCGAAGGTCCTGTCCTCCCAGTCGAACGAGAGCTTGGGCGCGGTCAGGAGGCTGCGGGCCTTGTCCAAGTCCATGTCATGGCTGGACTTGGTGTGAATCTCCGCGTGGCGCACCGCCATCTGGGAGCCGAGGTTCCGCTTGAGGCTGCCCGTGTCCCGTGTGGAGGCGCCCTGGCGCTCTGGAAACTTCACCTCCAGGAAGCTCAGCGTGTCTTCCACGGCCCCGTCGGCGTTCTGCTCGGCCCCGGAGTCGTCGGCCAGGTTCGCCTCCAGCTCGAGGGAGAAGCGGCCGCTCTTCTGGACCCTCTCCTGCCTCCGGGGTGCGATGCGGCCGCGCTTGAGCTCGAGGCTGTTGACCAGGCGCTCTTCTCGCGCGATTCTCACGAGCCACCTCAGGTGCCTGCGGGCGTCCTGGCTGATGCTGGCGCCCATGACAGGCTCGCCTTTGAGGCGCCGCTTGCGCGCCCGCACGACCTCGCTGTATGTGCCTAGGAGGAAGTGTAGATTGTCGGAGGCTTGGACATGGGCACCGACACCAGCACGGGGGTTTGCCCCCACCGCGGGAAGATGATCCCAGATCTCGGTGTTGGTGGTAGTCCTTCGGCCGCCTGGGAGGCCCGAGTAGTACCATCATCATCGAGATCGGGATCGCCATCCCTGGAGGAGGAGGAGGAGGATGAGGAGGAGGAGGAGGAGGGGAAGGAAGAGGAGGAGGCGGAGGAGGAGGAGGAGGAGGAGGAGGAGGAAGAGGAGGAGGAGGAGGAGGACACCGCCGATACTGGTGTTGGTGTCAAGCTCCAGGCCTCCGAGATTGACCTTGCCCTCGTCGTCGCAGAGGAGCTTGCCGCCCTCGTGCATGCCGCGCTCGCCCAGGAACGACTCCACGCCGAGCCTGCGGATCGCGCGGGGGTCGCACACCTTTGATCAGCGAAACGAACTCTATACACCGATGTTTTTTTTCCGACCCTGCGCTGAAATTCGCACAAGAACGCGGATCTTGGTGTATGCGGGATCCTGGTTATACATTTCCCGTTGCTTCCCCAGGAAAGCAATGGACAAGTGTACACCACACCACCCCGACGTCGTCCCCGACCCTCAAGCCCTCAAAAAGTCGTGGGATTGAAAGAACCAACCCGCCACTGGTAATGTAAATGTTCCAGTTCCCGATTGATTGATACCAAAAAAACCCAACCCTTTGGGAGGGGACCGAAGTTAGGAGGGCCGTAAGCATTAAGAATAAGGGGTCTTTTCTGGACGGAATGAAACCAAGCCGCCCAGACTGAGTATCGCTGATGCGAAGACGGAGACCTCGGTGAGGCCGCGCCATCATCGTGCTATTGGGGGTAGGGATTCTTGTGTGCTTGATGAACCTTGAGCGAGAAGGCCGTCTTGATGCCCTCGACATCCGGGTCGGCCCTCTTGGCCAGCCTATCTCTCCACGCCCGCACCTCCTCCTCGTCTGGCTCCACCTCCGAGCCCGACTCGTCGTCTCCGCCACCCCCTCCCTTGCCGCCGCCTTTGCCTCCAATCACCCCCCGGAGATGGAAACGGACGGCGTCGTCGGGGGACGAGCCCTCGCCCTTCTGCTTCTTGTCCTTCTCCGGAGTGTCGCCGTCCACGACGCGTGTGCGGACGGGCTTCGCCTTGCGCTTCGGGGCCTTCCCTTTCACGGCAGCGCCCGCCTCGCCTGCGGATCCGTCTCCGCCCACGGCCTCCTGCAGCTGAGCCTTGAAGCTCCTCTGGGGCGCGTTCTCCTTGCCCGCAGCCTCCTGCTTGGCCCGCCTTGAAGCCAGCACCTTCTCGCGCTTGCGCCTGATCTCCTCCTGGAGGCTGTTGATTGCGCGGTGGCAACTCATGGAAGCCCCCCATACCATCTTCTCGGCTCTTGCGAATCGACGCTACTCGACGCTAAATCGACGCTACTCGACGCAACATCGACGCTCATCGACGCTAAATCGGCGCTATCTCACCCACTCCCAGGCGCTAATCGACGCTAGTCGACGCTAAAGACACAATTCAGAGGGTATACCAGGCTCCCATGATACAGACCTCGGAAAAAATAGCGAACACTCATGCCACATCCATCTGTCAACGCCTCCCCCTCCCCCCAATGTTCAAAATTGGCGGGGTGCCTGATGAGTGGCACCTCGACCGCAGTCTCCCCCGCGCGAGCCAACTTGAGTTTGGGGGGGAGGGGGAGTGTTCAGTAATTGCTTCCCTCTACCGTAAGCTACCGAGTGAGTGGTCGTCTGCGTACAACGGCCGCGGGGATGGCGGGAACGGCGACAGGGGAGGGGTTATAGGCGCCAACAGGCCCGCCAAGGGCCAGCAAGCGGTGTCAACCGGCCTCGCCGATCGCACCGCAGCAGGAGGCGTTCCTATAGGCGCGGCGGCGCTTACAACGCTCTCTTGTCTGGCGCGGGCCCGCGGGTGATCACAGGCCTTCTCTCTCAATGCTCTGCTCTCCTAGGGCTTCGCAACGTCGTCCGCGCCTTGCTTCTGCATGTCCGAGCTCCGTAGCTGCCTGCACGCCCTCCTGTTCTCAGCTGCGTTCATGTTCTTGTGGACATTGTTCTTGAGAGGTCCCTTCCAAATGTGGGCGGGGAGACACAAAGGTACCGATACCGCTACTCCCCAGACCTCTCCCGGGGTGCGTTCAGACCCAGATTTCGAGGCGAATCCGGCAGTGGCGACGAGGGCCTCCCACGAGGCCCAACGAGGGGAAAACGAGGATATGGTAGGGGTTATGGGCACCTGCTCCTCCTCCGAAGGGGCGCGCGCACCACGCGCAGCACACACGCGGGGCAAGCACATCACTCAAATCACGCAGCACGGTTTCTGCGGCTACGGGCCGACTGCGATCCGACAGCGCGTTGACGTCCCCACCAGAGAGACAGGGCTGCACCCGGCCTCGGGCTATGCAGTCACCATGACAGGGCGAGGATGGGTAAGACGCATCGCGTGTGAGCTGCAGGCTCCGCATGGCTGTCAAAACGCGAAAGCAAATCACCACATGATGAAATGCACGCTGGTCCTGATCCGTCTCACATGCCGAGGGGGGGCACGATATGTCAACTTGTGTCATCTATCGCGTCTGCATGTTCATGTCAAACATCGCCTCACACTTCGCAGTGTGTGGCTGCAGCCGCTTCCTGGGGCAGATCGCGGTGAAGGAGGCAACACACAATCATGCATCGCAAGCACAACGCGCAACGGACACATCACGCAAATGAACTGCTGCACGCGCACGATACCCTTTTTACTCCGCTGGGTGCCAGGCCAAACGGGCGCGTCCAAGGCAAGCGGGATGCGCAGGCTAACATTGTCTCCAGACGGCTGAGGTCCCCTGGAATCCCGCACCAGTGACAGGCCAAGGCGAGCAATGCCATGCAATGGCCACACGACACACATGTTCCTCTCCCGTGGCGTTGCAGCAGCCAGTATGCGAGTAGTGGGACGCGCAAAACCAAATTGCAATCGGACGGCATCGCGCGTGCGCCGATCGCGCTCAAACCGAAACAACTTTCTTCTGCGCGCGCTATTTTCCGCGAGCGTGGCGAATAGATCGCAATCACCCGAACAACTAATACGGCACGCGCGTGCGCACACAATCACGCACACACGCAATCGCGCACACACACACACACACAACACACGAGCACAGACACACATGCACGCACGCACACGTATATAAGCATACACATGCACACACACACACACGCGCACGAACGCACACACAGACACGCACAGAGACACAGACACACACAAACACAAACACAAACACAAACACACAAATACACACACAAACACACATACGCAGACACATACACACAGCCACACACACACGCACACACACACAAATGCACACGCACACCTTTCCTCCGATGAGCCAATGACTCGAAGCGGCGGTGCGCAACGTGAAGTGAGACACGCTCAAATTATGAGGGGTTCGGCCTGTTGTGATCTCTCCAGTGCGGCGGCCATGGGTCCGCGTCGGGCAGATGCGCAGAAAGCGATCTGTCGCCGCACAGATCTGTGAAAACATCAATGACAGGACTGGTGCGATGTGCGATGGGCGCGCCGTGGACAGTTCAATTCACGTATGCGTCGCGCGCAGTGCGTTGGTGCGACGGCGACGGGGGGTGGCCGGACATACGGACGATACATAACCACACAAGTTGGCGAACGGTGCGACAGCGACCGGCGAGGGAACGACAGATAGACAACTCGTTTGGTTTCGGAACTCCCCGCGCGGTGCGACGGCGACGGGGTGGTGACCAGAAAGATGGACAACACATAACTGCACACACTGGCCTGCCCAACAATGCGACGGCGGCGAGCGAGATGCCACGACAGATACAGATCTGGTTTCCGACCCCCTCGCGCGGCGCGACGGCGACCGAGGGTGATGGACCCAGCCTGCTGTGGATCTGCCACACATGCTGCAGCCAGCGGCGGTCTGAAGACAGATCAGCCTGACCAGCGGGAGGCCATGGCCACGGAGGGAGAATGAGAGCACAAGGTAACGTTGGCCATGGTTACCTGGGAAGATTGACATGGTGAAAGGTGAAAAGCCTATAGCCTTGGGCGTGAAAGAATTCCTGGATTCGGCTTATGTCTCAGCCGGGGCACCTGACTACAGCCGTCCAGCACTTGACTTCACGAATCTGGACACTGCATAACGCTACACACGCGCAGAGCGCTCTGTATTGTTCATGGTCGGAAACCTACTCCATAAACCACATTAACTTGGAAATCCAATCGGTAACCGCTGAGGGTTCACTTTAGTTTCCAGGGCAGCATGGCGACTCCACTTTTCTGGACAACACACAACGCTGCATACGTGCACGTGCGCACGGGCCGTTCTGTATTCTCCATGGTCGGACACATCTACAAGAACCCATGTTAACTTGGCCATCCAATCGGACACCCCTACGGGCTCAATATACTTCACAGTGCAACATGGCGCCGTGCCTGGTCTAGACAATGCGCACTACTACACACGCGCACGCGCGCGGATGACCATGGCCACCCGCGCGCGTGCGCGTGTGGTACGGACACGACTAGTACAATTACTTCCGTCAGGAGAGTACTGTTGGCAGTGAACTTTTGGATCGCACGTTGACACATCGGACACGCACGCGCACGCACGCGCACGCACGCGCACATGCACACACGCGCGCGCACGCGCACGCACAAACGCTCTGGCTCAAGATGATTCTTGATCGTCTCCAATGCAGTCAGACCAGGTCTTAACCCCCCCGTCTCGTTGTTCCCTCAACGAATCGGGTGTCGCATCTGACCCTCATGCCTAGGAGGGGGAGGGGGGAGAAGGAGGAGGGGGAGGAGGAGGGAGGAGGGGGGAGGGGGAGTGAAATGTTGGAACACGTTTCAACAAATCGAAACGCACACGCACGCGCGCACACGTGATCAGGATCGGGCTCGGGCCCGCGCTTGGGCTCGGGCTCGCGCTCGGTCTCAAGCTCGCCTTCGGGCTCGGGCTCGCGCTCGGGGCCGGGCTCGGTCTCAAGCTCGCGCCGGGGCTCGGCTTCGCTCGGGCATGCACGCGCGCACTCGCGAACTGCACCCGCTTGAAAGCGCGCGATCACGATGCTGAGACCCCCACCCCTGGGCCCCGTCCCATCCCCCTCCCCCGGCCCCATGCATATTTCGAAGCCCGAAGCGGGGGGATGTTCCAGCGCAGACGCATCGGTGCGACGGCGACGGGTGGGGGCACATGTAGATAGAGGAACAGACCGCAACCGCCAAGCAACGTCGACGACGCGACGGCAGATGGTCTTTGAATTTTGACCAGGGCAGAATTCTTTGCAGGCCGAGCCCGTGATCGCAAACTAGATTGGCCCCCTTATGCGGCAGCGTGGCTGCAACCGGCGACCCCACCGAGTCGAGCACGCATATACACGCAGAAAATAAACACACACACACACAAACACAAACACACACACACACACAAACGCACAAACGCACACTCACAAACACCCACACACAAACGCACATCTACACCCACACATACGCACACGCAAGCACACACGACATGCACGCTTTTCGAGTCGGCAAGCGAGCACGCGGGCTGCTGCGATACAAACGGAGCGAAGACAAGGCTCGAGCGAGCAGTTACATGCGGAAACCACACACGCAATTCTTCCTCCGACGCGCTGAAGAGTCGCAATCAGCGGGCATGAAGCCTACCAAAGACGCTGCGCAGAAGATGACCCGCCTTTGTGGGCACACGCAGGCAACGGACCTCCTAGCAAATCTGAAGTAACCGACAGCTCAATAGAGAACCATACACAGACTGGTAACTCATTTCATCCATCAAGAAAAAGTTGCATGACCATCAACTTTCGAAGGTCCGCGCTGCTTTCAAGGATCGGCGCTGGACCCTCCTCCCTGGCGCGCGGAGCGCGCCAGGGGAGGCGCCGGAGACGCCGCTAGGGGGCTCCAGCGCCGAATCCTAGAAATGCGCGCAGATCTCCAACAGTTCATGTCTATGCCATGTTTTGCTCCTCGAACCGAAGGCAAGGTGGCGGCGTCCATCATCGCTGCCGTGCTTGTGGGCGTGACGTCGGCGTCTCCGTGCGCCCAGGGCCGCCCGCGAGGACAGCCGCGCCGGCGAGCACCAGAGGGCCTGCGAACCCAGAGCGCCTGCGAACACCGCAACACCGACGCACCTGTGAACGCCACAGGTGGGCTCTTTGGGACCTTGGCCCCAAGGCCCTCCCCGCGCCCAGCCCTGCATCCCGAGACCGCCTCTTGACGGCCCCCCGGGGCCCGCGGCAGGCCTCCGCCAACCCCCAGAAGAAGGACGACGTCGTCGGGGGCCTTCTGGGGGGGCCGTGTGGTTTTCTTTGGGGGGCCGTCTCGGGACTCTTGGGTCGTCGTGGGGCCCTCTTGGGCCGTCTCGGCGCACGTGGGCTATCTGGGGGCCCCCATCCAGGACCCATTGTCCCCCAGGGCCCCCTGCCCTTCCTGGGGGGGGGGGGGGTGCGAACGCCACGGTCGGGGCTGGTGGCGGCGGACTCCCGTCGTGGACGCTCTGCTCCAAGGCTTGCCCGACTGGAGAAAGCGATCCTGCAGACCCTCGCGAGCGCCTGCGCCCTCGCAGGCTGGGCCCTCCGCGGCGGACTCCTCCTTGTCCGCCCTGCGCTTCCGGGAGCCGCCCTTCTCCGCCTGGTCTGCCCCCCAGTCACCACACATCAGGGGCGTTGCTTCTCCAGCACGGGGTCCCCGGACCTCTCGACCACTTCTCGGGGTCCAGTGTTTCGTGCTGGGTCGCCTCATGTGCATGACCCCAAGAACCGAGACTGGCCTCCAGACGACGCAAGGAGAGGGAACGCCTCGGCGTTGCGTGGAGGCACAAGAACCGGTGGACACATCATGTCACCAGCCCTTTGGGCTAAGGTGGCCTAGCGATATCTTTTTTCCTCTTCCAAAAGCCCTCTTCCATTCAGGGAGGGGTACCCTCCCCCCCTCCCTCCCTGAGGTTTTGTGGGGCGGCCTGCGATTGGTCAGGGCGCCCAAGATGGCCCAAGATGGCCCAAGAGGGCCTCCCATGCGCGAAGATCGCCTCCAAAGTGGCTCAAGATAGTCGAAGATGGTTCAAGATAGCTCCCGACATGCCTCCAATAGGCCCGACGAGGACCGTAAGACGGCTCCAAGTGCTTTCGGACACCCTCAAGACCCGCCAAGAAGCCCAACTTACAAATAATGATTTGAACCTTCCCGCCTTTTCGCTTCCTATGTTTTCGAGGCCTCAAGATTGTCCCAAGATGGCCCGATAGAGAGACCTAAGAAGGGCCCATGAGGCCCTCAAAACGACCCCGCGAGCGCCCAAGATCGGCCCAAGAGCGCAGCAAGATGCGCTTTTGATGGCCCCAGGAAGTGGAAGTAAATTCAGACCCGCCCCTTTTTATCGATGGCCTTCAAGATGGCCCCAGGAAGCCCTCCAAGGCTCCCAAGACAGCCGCAATAGAGCCCCAAGTGGACCCTAAGAGGGTTCCAAGACCCCCCAAAAGAGCCCCAAGGTCCATCAAAAGAGCCCCAAGAGGGCTCCAAGGGGCGACTTTGACGGCTCGGTTCCATCCTCTTCCTCATCCTCCTCGTCCTCCTCCTCCTCCTCGCCCTCGTCCTTGCCCTCATCGTTTTCCTCTTCCTTTTCCTCCTTTTCCTTGTCGTGGTGGTGGTGGTGGTGGTGGTCGTCGTCCTCCTCCTCCTCCTCCTCCTCCTCCTCCTCCTCCTCCTCCTCCTCCCCTCGCCCCCACGCGGGCCCCAAGGATCGCCCAAAGAGGCCCTCCAAGGCCACCCCCTTGCTCCAGAGAGCTCTCTCTACCCTGGTTGCCCACTTTGTTTCACCATACATGTATCTTCGTCACTTTTCCCATCAGCTCTCATGGGCAGGGTTTCTGAATGGGCTGGTGGGATTTGTTTTGTCGCTGCCGCAGGCGAAGGCGCCGGCAGCGTCAGCAGAGTTGGCTCGGGCTACGAGCCAACACGGAGCTCACCACGCATCCGACTCGGCACTCCCCTCACTCGTTGCGTGGCCCCAAGGGGGCTCCACCGAAGGGCCCCAGCGACAGGATCCGCATGACGCCCCCGCACCCACTTCTGCACACCTCTCACACGCTTAGTAGCGCCATAAGGAGCCCCACCGAAGGCCGCAGCGGCAAGGTCCGCATGGCAGCCCCGGACCTGATTTCGGCAGACCACTCAAACGCCTCGTGGCCCCAAAGCAGCTCTACCGAAGGGCCCCAGCGGCAGGGTCCGCATGGCGGTCCCGGACCCGATTCGTTTCGCGGCCCCATGCAGAGCTCCACCGAAGGGCCCCAGCGACTGGGTCCGCATGGCGGCTCCGCATCCGACTCGGGACACCCCTCACTCGTTTCGTGGCCCCAAGGGAGCTCCACCGAAGGGCCCCAGCGACTGGGTCCGCATGGTGGCCCCGCACCCATTGCGGCACACCCCTCACATGCTTCGCGGCCCATAGGGAGCCCCACCGAAGGCCCCAGCGGCAGGGTCCGCATGGCGGACCCGCCGCATTTGGACACAGCTCTCACACGTTAGTGGCCCCGTAAGGAATTCCACGGAAGGCCTTGGCGACAAGGTCCGCATGGCGGCCCCGCATCCATTTCGGCACACTCCTAACACGTTTCGTGCCCCCATAGCCCACTGGAAATGGGGAGCTCTACCGAAGGCCCCAGCGGCAGGGTCCGCATGGCGGCCCCGAACCCATTTCGGCACACCCCTCACACGTTTCGTGGCCTCATACGTAGGGAGCTCCACCGAAGGCCCCAGCGGCAGGTCCGCATGGCGGCCCCGCCCCATTTCGGCACACCCCTCACACGATTCGTGTCCCTTAGGGACCTGCCCCTCCCTCCGTGCGGCACTCGCACCCGCATATGAATGGGTCCCTCGCCCGGACAATTCTCAATAACGCTGGGACCTGAGATCCGACGACATGGAACATGCAACGCCGCGAAAAATCACGACCGGATCCCTGGACCCCATTGCTCAGAACCGCTGTTCGAGCCAGATCGATCCGTGACGGTAGAACGCAGCAAACACCGCCAGGACGGAGAAGGAGGAGGGGGAGGAGGAGGAGGAGGAGGAGGAGGAGGAGGAGGAGGAGGAGAGGAGGAGGGAGAAAGAGGAGGAGGAGGAGGAGGAGGAGGAGGAGGAGGAGGAGGAGGAGAGGAGGAGGAGGAGGAGGAAGAGGAGGAGGAGGAGAGGAGGAGGAGGAGGAGAAGGAGGAGGAGAGGAGGAGGTGGAGGTGGAACGGGAACGGGAACAGGAGGAGGAGGAGGAGGAGGAACAGGAGGAGGGAGGAACAGGAGGACAACAGGAGGAGAGGAGGGAGGACGACGACGACGATCCTCCTCCTCCTCCTCCTCCTCCTCCTCCTTCTCCTCCTCCTCCTCCCCTCCTCCTCTAGTTCGGGGCCTGAATCCTGAAGCTTGGCAAAACCGCCCACCGCGAACAAACAAAAAGTGCGACGCCCAGTTTTCCGGGCTGTTTTTCTATCGCGATGCGCTGGAGGTCTGGTGGCCTTCTCCGCCTTCTCCTTCTTGGGCCGCTTCTCCGCCTTTGAGGAAACCAAAACGTACCGGTACGTACTGCTACTCCCAGACCTCTCCCGGGGTGCGTTCTGACCAGGAATTCGAGGCGAGTCCAGCGGTGGCGACGAGGGCCTCCCAGGAACCCCAGACAAGCGAAAACGAGCCAGAGGTGGCGGTATGGGCACCTCTTCCTCCTCTGAGCCTTGGGTCTGGCGTGGGCCACGAAGTCTCCTTCGGCCCCCTCGCCGACGGGCGCGCCCTCCGCGCCAGAGGCCTCCGGGGCCGACCCGCTGCCCGTCGCCGTCGACCGCGCTTTCCACGCCGCACATCAATACATATCCAAAAATAATCCACAATCGTCCCAATACTATATTTTACTATGTGTTTAAATACCTCCTGTAGAGGGACATGCCCGACTTAACGCTAGCGCCGTCGCTGCCGCCTTCTCGGGCGTGGCCCGACCGACCCTTTCCGTGACTCGGAGGCAGGCGTGGTTGAACCCTTGGAGGGGTCCAAGGACCGATTTTCAACTGCCGCTGTCTCAACCCCTGAGATCCTGGCGATTCATTTGTTTTAAAGCCTGGCGTTTTCGCTCAACTTCGGGCCCCAGGACCCTCACTCATCGATCCGGCTCGAAAAACGAAGCAGGAAAAATGGAGTCCGGGTCTCAGGTGTTTTTATATATATATATGTGTATATATATATAGTGACGATCGACCCCCCCTGGCCTTATGTAGCCCCCATCGTACTTAAGGGGCCACATTCAAAAAAATAATTCCGGGCACCCGGAGAAGTATCGAAACAACGTCGAACAAGTATCGCCTCCAAGGGCCCGACAGATGAAAACCCTCCAGCTTCGGTACTTTATTGGTGTTCGAAATTAGTTCAGGCGGTCGAGGCGAAAGCAAGTTGGAACATCATAACTCTGGCCGCTTGCGCACGCCTTGGAACGGCGAGGCGGGCGTCGTCAGGGAAAGGGTCCGTCTGTCAAGGGTCGCCGCCGCCGTTCGACGTCGCTCGCCGCTTGAGATTCGACGGCGCGGGGGAAACTGCGAAATGGTAAAACATCACGACCAGAGCTCGAGACCCCATGCCTCCGCACAAGTGGTCGAGCGGGATCGAGACCCGATATGTGGCGAGAGCGCCCAACGCGGAACAATTGGGACACCCGGATCGTAAAGACGGCGGGCCAGACTCCATGCAGAAGCGGCTCCTGGACCCGCCTGTCGGGGCCTCTCGGCTGCTGGCCCCGCCCCTGGGTGCGCCCGCGACGCCGCCCCGCGCCGCTGCCAGGGGCTGCCCCGCAGCCTGGCCGCCCCGCGCGCTTCCCGCGGCGTCGCCGCGTGAGAGTGCCCCCAGTCTGCTCCCTCCTATCGCGGCCGCCCTCTTCGTCCTTCTCCCTCCTCTTGCATGCGTTAGGTCGGGCACGTCTCCCCTATAGGCGGATTTGTTGCGAATGGTAAGAAACAGCGCCCAAAAGCATGCCCAAACAAAAATCACAAGTAGTCAAAAATCGTTCCCAAACTAGTTCTGACTATTTTTGGAAATCCCCCCTGTAGTGGGACACGCCCGACTTCATGCATGCGGGACAATATTCGCAGCCCCGCAGGCCGATATCTGCCCCACGCGCGAGCTGTATATCGCCCCCGCGGCGCCTCGACGGACAGGCGCGGGCCCCTCTCCCCGGCCGGGGCCCGGCCTCTCGGGCCGCGCTCGGCGCGCGGCGACGAGGCGCCCCAGAGCAGAAAGCCCCAACACGAAGGCGCCGTGGCCGCCACCCCCGCCGCCGCCGTCGTCCTCGGCGCCGACGTCGCCGCCGCCGCCGCCGTCGTCGTCGTCGTCGTCGTCCTCGGCGCCGCCGCCGCCGCCGCCGCCGCCGCCGCCGCCGCCGCCGCCGTCGTCGTCGTCGTCGTCGTCGTCGTCGTCGTCGTCGTCGTCGGAGCCTCCGCGGCTGCCGCCGCAGGGCGGCTCTGCGTCGGGGCCTCGTCCTCGCTGCTGAAGCCCCCGCCCAGCGCCCCCTGCAGGGCAGCCTCGAAGCTGAAGCGGCGCGGGGCGCGGCGGCGCCCCGCGCCGCGCCCCAGCTGCTTGAAGCGGGGCTTCGCGCCCTGGGGGGGGGGGAGCGTGGTGCGCGGGGCCTGCCGCCCCACACGGACAGGGTGCTCGGGGCGGCGGGGCGAGGAGGAGGAGGAGGAGGAGGAGGAGGAGGAGGAGGAGGAGGAGGAGGAGGAGGAGGGGGGAGGCGGCAGGAGCGCGAGGACGGGTGGGAGAACCAGCGGGGAGGGGGAGGACGGGAGGAGGAGGAGGAGGAGGAGGAGGAGGAGGAGGAGGAGGAGGAGGAGGGGGGGGGAGGAGGGGGAGGAGGAGGAGGAGGAGGAGGAGGAGGAGGAGGAGGAGGAGGAGGAGGAGGAGGACCAGTGTAAACACAAGACGCATCAACGATGTTGTAATCAACCCTCCGAGTTTTGTCTTGTGATCAATCCCTGCAAGCACTGATGTTCACTGCGGGAAGTGCCCCGTTTGAAAACAACCGTTTGAGAATCTCCAGCCGTGTTAACTAAGCCAAGACACCATTCCTGAGACTTGAACATCGTGAATCAACGTGACTGCTGCACCCTGGGAGTCCTAAATTGTGCCAGCACACCATTACTGGGACGTCAGCTATAAGGGTCCATGAGACTGGTCACGTCGCCTCGTCTCTATCAGGGAGGCGCAGTGACCGAACATTGGCCCGAACGTCTGTCCAAGTGTGACCGAAACTGGCGCCCGAACTTTTCCGACCGCATCCAGGTGTGACCGAAATGTTCGGTTCGAGACCAAGACAATCTTCAGCTTTTGTCAGCATTTCGGTCACACGGCGTGTTCGGTCATAACTTCGGGCACGTATTCGGTCAGCGATTGTGTTCGGTCACCGACCTTTTCGGCTGATAGGGGTGGGGTGCCATGACACTTTGTGAGCTTTGAAGACGACTGTGCGCGGCGGGAGTGCGAGAAATACACGTCGTTCATTTCTAATCGTGCTCATTTCTAACTGTGCTCGTTTCTAAGTTTTCCTGGCCCCCTAGTGGCCAGGAAGAGGCCCAGGATAGAACAATTAGAAATGAAAGGATCGTGGCCCCCCAAAAATCAAGGAACTCTCGGATACTTAGAAATTAACAACGTGTACATTTTGCCAACGAGCCGCCATCCTTCCGTGGCGCTCCTGCAAGCTTCTAATACAACGAAGGCGCGCGGCGCTCGCGCGAGAGCCACGTGCTGAGGACGGCCCGCCCGCCATCCGTGAAACTCTGTTTGAGAGCTCGTGTGTGACGAATGCGCGCGGCGCCGCGGCGAGGGCCACACTTTGGAAACGACCTGCCCCTCCTCCTCCTCCTCCTCCTGCTCCTCCTTCTGCTCCTCCTCCCCCTCCTCCTCCTCCTCCTCCTGCTCCTCCTGCTCCTCCTGCTCCTCCTCCTCCCCTTCATCGGTGAAGCTGTCGCTCAGCCCCAGATGCATCATCATGAGTGGTGAAGAACTATCAGAAGCGACCCGCGCGGCCCGCCCTGCCGACCCGCCTCGGGGGTGCGGCAGGGAAGAGCCGTGAGGACGGAAAGGAGGTCGTGAGGCGGAGGAGGGGGGCGGTGAAGCGGAGGAGAGAGGCAGTCAGGGAGAGCACGACGATGGGTGGGGGGCTCCAGGGTTCCATGGCGACACCGCGCTCCGTAAGCAGGAGGAGGCCAAGGAGAAGAGGGAGGACGAGGAGGACGGGGAGGATGACGACGACCACAAGGACGGCGAGATCCTGGGAGGACTCCGCGTCGGAGTCGGCCAACGCCATGGCCGCGCGTTCGCCCCCCGAGGCGCCGGGGGCGGGGAGGGACGAGGCAAGGAGGATGAGGGGAGGAAGGAAGGGCTCAGATGCCCGCTTCCACTTCTCGGGTCGCTGGTGCACCCTGCAGTCAAGCTCCTACGTGCAAGGAACGCTGCATCAAGGGCGAAGCCCCTTCTTGGCCCCAAGAGCGCCTGCGTGCACGAAGAGCGTTGTAGGAACGATCGTGGGAGGACCTGAGGGAACAGCGAGCCTCCTCTGAACGCGAGCTGGTCCTTATTTCGTTGTGTTGGCGATACTTGACCGATGTACACGTAATAGTCTCAATGCAACCTGTCTGCCATTGATGCCGGCTGCTGAAGCTTCTTCTTGATGTCTGCTCTTGGTAAAATATGTTGTTGTTGTCTTTTGAAGTGGCATGATCCTGGTATATGCACTTGTGCACTCAAGAAGAGGATGTTACTAGTGTAGGTGTTTGGTGGGTGTCCTTGACGCTCGTTCTAGACTAGTGTTGCTCAGGTTGACGATTGTACGTCAGCAGCGCGTCCATGTAGAATAGTGACGCAAGCGTTCGGTGCAACTCTTGATGGGTGTCCTGGTCGTCTGTCGTTGATGCATGTAGATGGTGCATGTCATTGGTGACTGTTGCTGGTGACGGCCGTTGTATTGCTTGGTGTGTGTGTGTGATTGATGGCTGCTCCTGACATAGGTTGGTGGCCCCTGCTCGTAATGTCTGACAGCAATGTTAGGTCGGGCATGTCCTCCGACGGGCGGATTTTGCAAGAACATTCAAACATAGTCAAGCATATTCAAACATAGTCGAATATTCGTCCCCATACTATCCTTTGACCATTTTGGAATCTTCCTCCTGTGCAAGGACATGCCCGACTTAACATTGATGTCTACCGCTGGTGAATGTTGACGGGTATGTTCCCGAGGCATGTGATCGATGGGCTGCGTGGCGTCGGAACGCCTCCCCACTGGGGTTGTCCGTTGGTTACGCCCGTCCTAGATGCTAGTGCCATCATCAGAGGGCAGAACCCCCCCACGATAATCACCCCGACTCGCGAAGCCGTTGAGTAAACGCACCCATTGAAGGACTCTAACAGGGCAAGGCTACTTAGTAAACGCCCAGGGCCGTTTAGTCAAAGCCAATTATCAGGTCCAGGTGGTTTTTCCCCCTTTGAGTCCAAGAGGGATAGAGAACGGCATAAACTTGAACTTCTGGCGCTCGGCGTGGATTTCTCGGATCCGCGCTGACCTCTGGCGCGCGGAGCGCGCCAGGGGCGGCGCCGGCGGGGGGTGTGTGTCCAACGCGGATCCAAGAAGTCCGCGCGGAGCGCCAAAAATCTATGCTTGTGGCGTCTTTCCTTCTTCGATGGATGCTTGCTCATCGTGCCGTCGTCGGGCTCTCGGAGGCCTCCGTGGCCCCGCGGCCGCGGAATGCCGAGCGGGCAAAGCGGCAAGCGCGCAGGGATCACCCGAACTTCTGGGGCCCTGCGGGGCCGCGGTGTGCCAGGCGGGACGGCGGGACACCTGCGCTCGTTCTCGGGCTCTTGGGGCTTGGCGGGCGCAGTATGCAGGGCGGGCGAGGCGAGTGGGGGATCCCTGTCATGGAGAAGCTACAGCGGAGGTCAGTACACAAGAAACCTTCCACAAGAGACCCAGCCCTGAGACCCCAGGGCGTCCATTGATATTTCTGTGAGGGGACGTCACGCTTTCCATCGCAAAACCAGCGAAACCGAAGAAACCCAGGGCACCCTGGAGGCAAGCAAGGTGGTGTTTCTTGGCATGGGTCTCCACTGTGAAGAATGTAACGTGCCTGATCTGTCGGGTAGGGAGGACAACAACTTTCGAGGGTCCGCCCACATCTGCTGGATCGGCGCTGGATGCGCTGCCAATGGGAGCACACCTCCGACCCAAGATATCCGCACGAACCTATATGTCAATTGATGTCTGCGTCACCCATGAAGGGTCTTTAGATAGCCCCCAACCAGGGGTAACCATTACTTGTTCGACGACCTGATTGAAAGACGGGGGTCCCACCAATAGCGGAACTAATATTTATCCGCGGCACCAGCCGCGCAACAACAACGACGACGACGACGACGACTACGACTACTGTTGCGAATACGACGCAAGATGAATGATGAGATTGTGAGCAACGCCCTCGGCGAAGGATGTGTCGATCTACTTCGCAATCCTCTTACAAAGGTGCTCAAAACTCCCCTGCCATGTATGGTTGCCTTGACAGTATTATTCGCTGGACGAGAGAGCCCTCGACATTATCCAGCCCGGCCAACAATAGAGGGGAAATAATCGGGCGCCCGATGCGCAAGCGCCGACGACGAAGATGTAGATGTAGATTGTCATGTCTCAGAGGTGGAGGAGGAGGAGGAACAGGAGGGGGAGGAGGGCCGGAATAAAAGACTCTCGGGGTTCAATGCTGTGTCTTAGGAATGGGAGGCAGATCGAGGATCGAGGTTCGCCTGGGTTTGGGGAGGTTCTGGAGCCTCCGACGGAAGGATGCCACCCACATTTGGCAAGAGCAGATGGGGCCGGAGGATCGCACCACATCGCCTATGCATCAGCGACGTCGGGAGAAGAAGATAACGATCCAAGTGAGCAATGATCGAAAAGGGGTCTTACGCGAGATGGCACGGCGACCTTACGCGGTGGCTTGCGCGGGCCGCCAGCGCGGCACGCTACGCTTGAAGCGAGGGCGCTCACACGCGAGCTCACGCGGGCAGCTTATGCGCCAATGTCGGCGCAGACGACCCCGTTTTCTTGAGTCGCTCACGTGGTGATCCTCCGACCCCATCTGCTCTGGCCCCACCTGGAGGGGCCTGCGGCCGTGCGGACCCCCGAGAGGGCCCCCGGAGGCCGCCAGGAGCCACCGCGAGGCCCTCGGAGACCTCCATAGGGGGGATCAAAGTTCTCATGGCTCTTCGGGATGCGCGGAAAGCTTGCCAGGACTTGCGCGGCGTTCGGCGAGGAAGGAACAGTAGACGCGGAGCCAGGACGGAGGAGGGGGACGAGGAGGAGGAGGAGGAGGAGGAGGAGGAGGAGGAGGAGGGGGAGAAGGACGAGGAGGAGGAGGGCCAGTGTAAACCCAAGAGTCATCAACGATGTTGGAATAAGCCCTCACTCCAAGCTCCCTCTGCATCGGCCCCTACAACGGTTCATGTTCATTGAAGGAACTGCCTCTTTGGAAGGCAACCGTTTGAAGACCCTGAAGCATGTCAAAACATTGTTCTCGGGTTTCCAACGCCACGGATCAACCTGACTAATTATTGTGTTCTGACCATCCTGAATCGTGCCAGAACGCCATTCCTGGGACGTGAACACAGCGAATCAACGCCAAGGCGAGAACCACATGTTGAAAAGGAGCCGCTCTCAATCCGTGAAACTCTTGCAGATGTTTAAATCGAATGTGCGCCGCGCTCAGGCGAGAGCCCCATTTTGAAAACGACCCACTCTGAATCTGTGAAGCTCTTACAATTCTTTACAACGAATGTGCGCCGCGCCAAGGCGACAACCACATTTTGAAAACGGCCCGCCCTCAATCCGTGAAACTCTTGCAAATGTCTAAAACGAATGTGCGCCGCGCTGAAGCGAGAACCACATTTTGAAAACGACCCGCCGTCAATCCGTGAAGCGCCGCGCTAAGGCAAGAGCCGACATTTTGAACACCACCCGCCCTCAACCCGTGAAGCTCTAGCATTTTTTTTAAACGAAGGTACGCCGCGCCAAGGCGAGAGCCACAGTTTGAAAACCACTCTCCATCAACCCGAGAAGCCCTTGCAAGCTGTTGCAATGAATGTGCGCCGCTCTAAAGCGAGAGCCACATAAAAACGGCCCGCCATCCATGTGTGAAGCTGTTGTCAAATTTTGAACTTCAGAGTCATAAGTGGCAAGGACATCTAAGGCGAAACGCCCGGCCCGCCCTGAAAACTGGCCTCGGGGTGCGACAGGGAGAACTTATTTTAAAGGAAAAGGAATGGAGCAGGAGGAGGAGGAGGGAGGAGGAGGAGGAGGAAGGAGGAGGAGGAGGAGGAGGAGGAGGAGGAGCCTGGCCCTCGCAGCTTCCTCGATACAGGACGGCTCGAGCCCAAACAATTATGGCTCCGCTCCCGCTCCGCCTGCTCCTGCTCCTCGTCCTCGTCGCCCTCTTCTTCCTCCAGGCCCACCTCCTCGTCCTCGCCCTCGTCCTCAGCATCCTCCCCCTCCTCCTCCTCCTCCTCCTCCTCCTCCTGTCTTGCTGCATCCTCCCCGTGGGAGGAGGCAGGCCCTCGGGGAGAGAGAGAGAGAGAGAGAGAGAGGAGAGAGTTAGAGAGAGAGAGAGGCTCGCACACGCAGGCTCAGAAGGTTGCGCAGGTGTGTGAATGGCACCCGCTTGGCAGAGTAGCCCAAACAGCCTCACACAAAGCTCACGAAGGCAGGCCGCGGGGGGGGGAAGGAGGAGGAGGAGGAGGAGGAGGAGGAGGAGGAGCAGGAGGAGGAGGAGGAGGAGGAGGAGGTGGGAGGAGGAGGAGGAGGAGGAGAGGAGAAGAAGGAGGAAGATGAGGAGGAGGGCGAGGAGGGGGAGGAGGAGGAGGAAGAGGAGGGAGGAGGAGGAGGAGGAGGAGGCGGAGGAGGGGGAAGGGGGGAGGAACACGATGGACCCCCACTTCGGGCGCTGCTCCATGGGGGTGGGCGTAGGAGGGGGGGGGGGGGGGGCGAAGAGACGTGCACCTGTCTCGTGCCCGTTGCGGACCCCCTCTCCGGCCGCCGAGGTGCACAAAATGGGTGCACGCCACTCGAGAGAGCGAGGACCGGGAGAAGACTTCCTTGGTGGGCTTGTTTTCCACCGCCACCACCCGAAGTCAGAGGGGGAGGGGGTCCTCCTCCTCCTCCTCCTCCTCCTCCTCCTCCTCCTCCACCTCCTTCCCCCCTCCAAGTTTATGGTGGTGGTGGTGGCGGAAAACAGGATCATCATGCCTGCCCGGCCGCGGACAAACGCAAGGACG